TACAACATTACTTCCTTTAAATAGAGCAACATGCAACTTAACACCGATGTTTCTGGGTCTTCTCCTGGACCGAAGCACAGACTCTGCTCTTCAGCACAATGGTGACCCACAAAACCCCGACAACAGAAACCCTTTGATTCACAAAAGAGCAGATCTCGCTAGACCTCGACATCTTCACTTATTACAAACCAGTTTGACTTGATTTCCTTTTAATGCAAAACTTCTTAATGAAAACAGAGGTTTAGATGTTGATGTTTTATTAAAAATAATAAAGTTTGAAACTTGAAGATATGCGTTTGCTTTAGTTGGTTTCCTGACTTTTTGACATCCGCTTTTCTTTGGCTGCTGTAACTGTGTGCTTGTTTGTTACATCAAAAACTGCAAGAGAAATGATGTTGGTTACTTATTGATGATGATAGGATCATCATGTAATGGCCTGATTCACTGATCTCACCTGAGTATATTGTTTAGATGTATTAGTTTCACATTACTGTAGGCCTAGAATACTACTGCCTAAAATCCTGTCCTGCTTCGATATTGTGAAAGCTTTTAAGACATTGTGCAAATATTACTTGGACAGGACCATGTAGACATACACAGACATCAAGAATCAGCGTCTCAATCTCAACAATAATGACAACATATTCAGATAAACAGATCACCTCTGAACGTCACAATAAAGCTTTTTGTTGATTGTCACCATTGTTGAGATTCATGCGCTGATTCCTGATGTCTGTTTGAATTTAAAAAACAAAGCTAAAAACACAGCACTGGTTTCAGGTGCGAGATGAACAGGTAAGATGACATCTTCTCCAGGCTCAGCAGATACAGGGCGAGTAGGAACCTCAAGACTAATATCTTTTATTTAATAAATACATTTATTGTCAGTAACATGAATAGTCCCCATCACACCCATAGTCACTTAAAAATCATCATTATCTTTTAAGTTTACTAGTTAAACTAAGATGGAACTTGGTGCCAAAAAGCAAACAAATCAATAAAGTATGTCAGACAAGAGACTCTGAAGAAGAGGAAGAAAGAAAGAAAGAATTAAACATTATTCCTGTGTCATTTGTGAAACATTCAAGTCATCAGAGTCACAAGTGATCATTTACTTGCCTTGATCAGTTTCTGATACTTCTTTAACATCAGCCATTATTAATATTTCTGGACCTCAGAGATGAAAATCCACTGTAAAGCCTAGAAAATAAATTACGACAATATAAATGTTTCCATGAATGTCTCCTCAAATCTTATTTTGATGTTAATCTACCCCAGGACCTTAACCACCATAGACATTGAGGGGGACAAATCCCCCAAATAATTAGAAATGTCCAAAGACTTTATGAAAATTAAAAGATTATCAATCAAAGCAGAAAGCACGTATTGCCAAATAATATACTTCCCACTGACTTTAAATTGCTATCCAAATGTTTGGTCTCCAAACATCTTAAAATGCACACATTAGGGCTGTCAAAATGGCTGAAAACTAAATATGAAATTTAATTGAAAAAATGTGAAATCAAAATTTTCTGGTTGTGGGGGGTGGAGGCGGGATTTGGGACCTCTGTAATTATAAAATCCTGACTGACCAGAGAAATAGCAGTTATTATGTGTGTTCCATTATATTTCCATTGATTGTGATGCCAATCATTCGTGAATTATAATCATTCTTGTAAGTTGTTTCTTTCTCTTTAATTGGCCAAACACTTAGCAACAGCTACGGTCTGAATTGATTTCTGAATTCGAAACTGTTAATGAAGCAAATGGAAACTGCTCCTGATGAGAAGAATGAACATCTGCGTGCCAATCCCAACTAACACACAAAGTACCAGTTTTGTCATTTATTGGTACTTTTTTGGTAATTTCACAACTTACTAATTGACAACATAACAACAACGTTGCATGCCCGTTTCTTTTGCGCTTTTAAAATACAGCTCACAGCGTGTCCCATTTGGTCGAGTAATTGAAGATTGCACCGTGAGCACAGTATAACGACTGACAGGACAGGAACGTAAGGTGAGGGACTTTTTATTTGATACTGAATTGCATTAGCATAATGACACTGACATAGCCAGACTACTCATCTGAAAGCAGGGAACGGGCTTTTCTCAGGCATCTGATAGAAGTGTATCAGCTTTGATGCACATCTTTCAAAGTCTCACAATAGAAAAACAGAATTATGTGTGTTGTTGTTACTTTGACTGTACACTCCACTCGATGAAAATATATGTCTAAAGACACCATACCTTAGTTCTACTCATGTATATCATTGCTCTCACCGATGGTTTGGGTTTAAAGTCTTATAAAAGTGTTAATCAAAGAAAAAATATTGACCAAGGACGCATCAGGTACTCACAGGCATAACTATAGGTGCTCCAGAAATGGAACAAAATGCCCAAAATAATAGGTGGATCCTGTTGCACAAAAAAAAAAATCCATGTCCAGGCACTCGCATAGTCAGCAAGGTAAAAAGCCTTTATTCTAAGACAGGGCTACATATTAAAAAAAGACACCAACGCATGAAAATGTATATAAATGTGTGTATAGTTAAAACTTCTCTCAGTCATGTTTAACATGAGAATTATTGATTTTTTTTTTTTACAATTATTGATGTTATTTTTGCACAATCAATCAATCAATCAATTAAGATGATCAAATTTGAACACATCCACCACAAAATCAGAATTTAGTACCGCCTTTTACTTTGAGATTGATCTGAAGTTCAATGCAGATTTAAAATCATAAGAAATGGTTTACTTTTTTGAAACCAAATCTTTGCATAACTACAGGAAATACTGCATCTAACAATGGTTTGGGAAAAAAATAGTTAATTAAAAAATTATAATAAATAAAAGCATATACATCAACTCAAATCTACTAAACTCCTAAAACACTGGTGTCTTTTTGAAACATTGGTGTCTCTTTGTATATGATATGACAATAGTTTTCTCAAAATAAGTAAAATGCTCATGAAGTGACTCAGAGCAGTTCTAGAGATTATGTTTATGTGTTCATGTACTCATATATTGCGGCGGCAGAGGTTGAAAACACCGCAAGCTTCAGTAGGCCTATGTGTAGTAAATGAAACCGCATGTCTGCGCCATTAATTTCCACATGGGGCGGACAGGGAAAAAATATAGAGACTTCTGGCAGATCTGAAGACAGTAAGAATAAAAAAGTATTAATACTTTACAGTAATACATTACTGTAGCTGACCTTGGTGTTTATTTTATTATCATTCCGAACGATCTGAGTATAGCTGGAGCAGCAATTCTTTTGAATCCTAATCAAACGTTCTTCATATTTCTCTGTAACTAAAACCAGTTTTTCAGACTTCGCATTTAACATGAATTGTGTGATTTAAGTCTAGAATGCGGAAACACAGCTAAATCCCCGGTGTTAAATTAACACTGCTCTATGTTCATATGGGAACCACCAGCAGAGTGTTAAAGTAACACTAAAGCTGGCCACACACTTGAAGATTTTAAGGCCATATTTAAACCCGATTTGCACCCCCGATTCGAGGCTTGTCGCAAATGATTTTTTTGGTCCATAAAATCCTCTACTGTGTACTGTGTACAATTATTTAACTGCTCTCGATCGAGATGGAGTGGACAGATCGACAATAGAGTACTGAGAAAGAACATCACCCATATTCTTTTTTTCTATTTTGTTATTCACTGAACGTGATCCAGGAGAGCCAGCTGACAACGTCGATTGTCCTCCATGTGTTTTTCTTCATTAGTCATGTTTGACTTCTCTAGGCAGGTTGACACAAACATAATACACGACAAGGTAACACGGCAAACATGAGGGCTAAAATACTTAGACAAGGGGAACACATGACAAAACCAACCAATTAGTAAACAGAACTAATGAGAACACAACACATTGACTAAAGGAACAATTGAGGGCAAGGAAGAAACATTCTGATCCAAGCTACCTGATGATGGCAGTAATGCACTGTTAAGGGCGGTTGCCAGTAAAAGAAAGAAGAAGAAGAAGGATGTTGTGGAACATGGCTACAACAAATTACAAAATAAAAGACATGACCAAAACCATATAGGCTACCTGACAACGATTCATCAATGACGGGTATTTAGAGCGATAACGGATCAGATTTTGAATGTATAGCTGTATATTCAAGTGATACTAATGCCAGAGTGGCCTAAATATAAGTTACACAGTAAAGAGTGGGAGAGTGACTCAAATCTCAAAACGTGAATTACACCTGTGGAGGGAGATGACACAAAGGCTCGAATATCATTGTAACACTGAAATCAGAGCCCAGTTGACTAAATTAATTAAAATTGAAACTGAACATCTGGGACTATACGATCCTGTCCTGCTTCAGGACAGCTTTTAAATGGTCCAGATTGGTGTATCATAGAAAGCTGCTGGACTTGATTAGTTTTGACTGTGTAAAGTCCTGCATTATGCTCTACAATGTGTACTTCACAAATGACTTTCTCTAATTCTGTCTGACGTTAAAGTGTGACACGAAGGTAAGCGCATTGTTGTTGTTATTTTTTTATGGTTGGATTATCGTACAGTATGTATCAATGAATGACTGGCATGGTGTGTGCATGAACGAGTGTTAAAAAGCAACCTGCTAATTACATTGCTTTTTCTGATCACTTATATTGAGCACTTTTTGCATTTAAATTGGCTTATTCTGACTGTTGACACTGAAAATGATGCATGCGTTTTTTTCAAGGGTATCGGTTAATTTCTTGATTGTTGTTTAGTGGCTGCCTGCATATTTGAGTCATATTTGGTAAATCTCTTTAATGTATTTGCCCTGATTTGGTCCATTTTTCCTGGGAAATGTATCTATTTTTATATTATTTTGTCATCATTATTTTGTTTTAAGGAGTTAAAAATGGTCCTCATGTCTGTGGTCTCCCATGCCATGGTTTTAAAGTTGTTTAAGATTAAAAAATTGTCTGGTGTGTCCCAGGCCTGCAGTATTCAAGTTAATTAGATAATTAAGCAATTAATTAAGTGATTTTAGTCAGCTATTTTGAGCTGAGGTGCGGCCTCTTTTGAGCTATATGAGAGTACAGCATTAATGCATTGTTTACTAACCTCGCCTCCATTGACGTAGTCTAGGACGAAATACAGTTTGTCTGTGGTTTGGAATGAGTAATGCAGCCCCACCAGGAACGGATGTTTGATATTTTTCATTAATACACTCCTTTCTGCCATGATATGTTTTTGCTGAGAAACATATTAAGTGTGATTGTTAATATTCTGCAGCTGCGGCGAAGTGCTTTCACATCTCTATGAACATTGCATTAGGTCTTACCTCTTTCTTTTTCAGAATGATTTTCTTCTGCAGCACCTTCACAGCATAGTATTGTTCGTTTTCCTTGTACCTTGCAAGCAGAACCTGTGAAATAAGATGCTGTTAGCATTCTCAGTTTAGAATATGACATAAATGTTGACATCTTGTCTATATGAAAGTTGTTTGTGCCCACCTTTCCAAAGCTCCCCTTCCCAATAATCTTTAAGTAGTCAAAATCTGAAGGTTTGATCCTGTTAAGGAAATTAAACAACATTAGTAATGCAAACAACAAGCAGCCTGGCTGACTGAAATCCAATTAACCAAAAAAAAAAATCGAGTAACTACATACTGAGTCTCCTCAGCCAAAGAGCTCCTGGGATTGGTCAAACACAGGAGATTCTCCTCCAGCTCCTCATTCTGGTTCTCATCGATTTTTAAGAACGAACCAACCTCAGCACTAAGGAAAAGAGATTGAAAAATGTTATGGATTTTATTTCAGAGAGTTAACTTTGTTCAACACCCACAGCCTATTGCACCATGATTATGCAACGACTGCCCAACATACTTCCAAAAAGTGCATTTGTTTCAAAATCTCTTTAAAATGAGTCAAAATGTACAGTGTGTGTTTAATCCAGGGTTGCGTTTCCCAAAAGCACCGCAAGCCTAAGTAGATCATAGACCCAATGCCACCAATGGTCTCTCAACTTAGCTTTTGAGAAACAGCCCAGAACATTCCTTTAAATTAATTATTTCTTGTAATGCCTTAGCAGGCAGATAGATGGCAGTGTTGGGGAAGTTTATGAGGGCCCGTTTCAGGTATGTTAGAAATTCAAAATGTCTTTTTGACCTGACAAGACACCTGTTATTAGTGCAAGACTATTAGATTAGATCTACTTAAAATACAGATCAAATCATATTTGATTGAAACCTTCATAAAAACTCCCTCCCTGCCCAAAATGATGACTTTTAGACTATTGAGAGCTTAAATGTCAACCTTTTACACAACCTCTCATCCTCTTTTATCATGGAGCATAGGAAGGGTAGAGATGACGCGGTGAGAAATTTTCCGCTGCTCCGACCTGAATGACTCTAAAGACCAAATGGGCCGTGCTTAATTGAATTAGGCCCTTATCCTCGTCTAGGGGACATTAGGGATTTTCTTATTGTGGCCAAGCGGCGGCCTGAACAGCTGCTTTTTGTGGAGCACTATTCTGGTGCTTGGCTTTATCTCGCCGGTACAGATTAACCTGCACAATTAGCAGAATGCACAGCTAAACTCAGATGATGGGATTACATCCTCTAGTACAGTCACCTCAATGAAGGTGTACTATAAATACACTACAGGTCACAGAGTTGCCTTTATGAAAGACTTCTGGAATTTTCCTGAACCACTTTCTTGCTGATTTTGAAACCGTCAGCAAGTCATCTATGCTCATATTTGCTGATCATGCCTTTGTCGGTTCACACATCTACTTGTAATTGTAAAAGCATCATGCAATTGTTTATTTCCATGCTCATATTATTAAATATTGGGATACTTACTGTTGACAAATGGGAGGGTTAGAAACAAGCTTCTGGATGAAGTCGTTTAAGCCCATCTTCCTTTCTTTAATAAAAGCTGGAATAAAAAACAAACATTTACGTCAGAAGGAAATCCACAGCTGACGTCACCAACACCCAGCATTTGATCTGAATGAACCACCAGCCATCTGTGATGGGGACCCCTTCGACATCTTCTCTCTCTCTCGGTAAAATGACTATTTGCACGTCAAGTCTATGTCAGACAACGTGTTTTATAGATGCTGTGATTCAGAGGATCGGTGTGGAATGGTTTAATGTCCAGAACTGTCAGTGTTACACAACACACCGCATTGCTCACTGTATGTAGCTGTACAGATATCTGCTATTCATCAAGAACGATGATGCATCATTTCTACAACTCTCATGGAACCACGTAATTTAATAAAACAATGTAAAAAATCAATGATGTATGACAAAAACTTTGTATGAAGGATATAAAAAAATGCTATGAGCATAATAATAATAATAATAAAACACAAAAACGATGACTAAGACATCTATTTCTCTCAGTACATTTGTTTTTTTTTCGTATTTGATATATTGCATCCTTTTCCCAAAAGCATATAATTAACGAAATCTATTATAGACACCAAAACAACTCAAATGCGTACCGGTAAGAACGGACACGATCCCCCGCATCTTGCAGTATGTCAAGTCAGATCCAGCCTGAGTAACTGCCATCCGTGTGGAATGGTTTAATGTCCAGAACTGTCAGTGTTACACAACACACCGCATTGCTCACTGTATGTAGCTGTACAGATATCTGCTATTCATCAAGAACGATGATGCATCATTTCTACAACTCTCATGGAACCACGTAATTTAATAAAACAATGTAAAAAATGAATGATGTATGACAAAAACTTTGTATGAAGGATATAAAAAAATGCTATGAGCATAATAATAATAATAAAACACAAAAACGATGACTAAGACATCTATTTCTCTCAGTACATTTGTTTTTTTTTCATATTTGATATATTGCATCCTTTTCCCAAATGCATATAATTAACGAAATCTATTATAGACACCAAAACAACTCAAATGCGTACCGGTAAGAACGGACACGATCCCCCGCATCTTGCAGTATGTCAAGTCAGATCCAGCCTGAGTAACTGCCATCACTATTATTACAAGTACAAGTCCACAGGAGGAATGTAGTGATCCTTCGGCTAAGCCTTTATGTTATTGCAAAGCGCCGATCTCCCAGCAGCAAGCGCACTACTGGGTTCTGAAGCCGGGCTGTGGGGTGGTGAGCGCGACTGTCTTCCCCCGCCAGCCCTGCGCTGGTGTGTTTATACGGGACACGTGGGTGTGGAGGCGGGGTTCTGACATCACTCCGAGCAACCGAGGAGCCCTGCGAAGTGTGATGCCACGGGGCCCCTCGCATCTCCGTTCCGCCGCTAGAGGGCGATGCGAGGGGAAACGGAAGCGCCCCCACTCATGCGAGCCGGATTAAACGCTGGGACTTTTTCTATCATTGGAAACATTGCCACACAGCTGGCTGCTAATCTCATCGTTGTGTAGCAGATTAACCTCTAACCCTTGCCAGTAATGATGAGGAAGAACGTGAAGCAGTGACAAAGGAGAAATGAAAAGCTGTAGGATCAGGTACCTGAGATTAAGGTCTCTGTTAATGTGCTGAACAGATGTGCTAAAATATTCACCCTGTTACTTAGAGTCTAGCATTTCCGATAATGGCGCAACATCATTAATCTGTTAAAGCCTGTGTTTTACCAGATTCTCGTCTGTGAGCAAGCCACAGTGTTCAAGCCATCCAACCAGGTCAAGGGTGTGAGGCTGCGCGGCATTACGGCTTACGATACTCTGAGCCATATCATTTATTTTTCAGCCTCCAGATTTGGTCCACTGACCCTGTAAATTATATAAGTGTGCCATAATACGATGCCGTCCTTGCCATCCTGTCTTTTAGTACAGATTTTGCCAGGTTAGACATCATCACATCAAGGGGGGCAACTGTAAAAAGGGGGGCCCAACTAAAGTATAATCCATATAAAAATATATAACTAAGGTATAACCCATATAAATATATATAACGAAGGTATAACCCATATAAATATATATAACGAAGGTATAACCCATATAAATATATATAACGAAGGTATAACCCATATAAATATATATAACGAAGGTATAACCCATATAAATATATATAACGAAGGTATAACCCATATATTCTTTTTAGTTACATTAAGATTAAGTGGGCTAATTATTATTGTAATTTTGTTACCATTTTTATTCATTTTTCGGTAACACTTTCAATAAGGTTTCATTAGTTAATGTTAGTTAATGTATTAACTAACATGAACAAACAATGAAAATACATTTATTACAGTATTTATTAATCTTTGTTAATGTTAGTTAATGAAAATAGTTGTTCATTGCTAGTTCATGTTAATTCACAGTGCATTAACTAATGTTAACAAGCACAACTTTGGATTTTAATAATGCATTAGTACATTTTGAAATGAACATTAATGCTGCAGAAGCATTGTTCATTCTTAGTTCATGTTAAATAAAGTAGTAAACTAATGAACAAACGTTATTGTAAAGTGCTACCAAAGGTTTTTTTAAAATGTTGATTTTATTTCAGATGAGTATATAATTTTTAAATTGGTTTTGGTTTTAGTTTTAATAATAGCCCTGGCGCCTTTGATTTGCATTTCCACTTCCACAGTACTATTTTGGACGACTTCTGGAATGCATAACCTGTTCTGTCTGCAAATCTACACATGCATGATACCCTTGTCATCCTTTCATTTTACACAAACAGCTTGAGTACTTTGTAGAAGCTTAATTTTATTTCAGATGAGTATATAATTTTTAAATTGGTTTTGGTTTTGGTTTTAGTTTTAATAATAGCCCTGGCGCCTTTGATTTGCATTTCCACTTCCACAGTACTATTTTGGACGACTTCTGGAATGCATAACCTGTTCTGTCTGCAAATCTACATATGCATGATACCCTTGTCATCCTTTCATTTTACACAAACAGCTTGAGTACTTTGTAGAAGCTTTAAAATGGCCCTGCCGATGGAGCAATTTAACTTGCTGGAGCCTTGTCAAAGTCTGTTTACACGAGCAGGATCGGGTGGCGTGATATCAAACGACTTAAGGGTTATGTGCTTTGTATTAAACAAACATCCTATCTTTCCAATAACAGTTAGGAGGACCCATGGAGGGGAATTCAGCTGGAGCTATAGGTCTCAACTAACAAAAACGATGGGGAAGATCACCTAGTTCAGAGGAATGGTGGATGTGCTTATCAGGTTGCAATGCACAGTCAATTCATCTTCCACTCATAACTCAGAATTTAGAGCCTGATGACATATATGACATATTAGACTGATCTAAAGAAAGAGTAAAATATATATTATGTTTCAAAACAAATACATTTGTTTAAAATATAAACTAAGTATGAGTAAAGGACATTAGTTTTGTGGCTTTAGTCCATGTCTGCTAGATTTGAGGCCATTGATATGTATTTTTGTCAAGCTTGACTAAAGCAAGTTGACTAAATTACATTTTACATACATTTGACATAATTTATTGATGTTTTTATACAGTTAAAATGTATTACTCTTCTATGAAAATAGATCAAAAATACTGATCACTGATTACTTTTTTTTCAAGTAACCTAATATCACGCATAAAAATAAAACTTAAAAAAAGGAAATAATTTACTAAAAGAGAAGAGTCCAATTGTAAAATTAATTTCTCTTCTATGAAAAAACACCAAAAATACAAATCACTGATGACTTTATACACGGCAAAATAACCTAATAACCTGCCCCAAATTAAATTTTAAAAACTTTAAAAAGGAAAGAATGTACTAAAAGAGCAATTTCCATTTGATTATGTTGTTTGTAAAATTGTTATTCATTCATTTATCCATTCATTTATTCTGAGACTAGCGCAGAGAAATACAAATACTGCCATTCCTTTACCTAGATCAGATGACTAGTGACTGGTTCAGCTTTATAACCTTCTCTCTATTTGTCTTGTCTCTTCCTTCCCCCACTAACCTGCCCATGTTTCCACATAACCGTGTTACTGTAACAGTATCTCATATGGCAAGCGGATAGGTGGCAAAGTCTTTTCCGCTGCTCACCGAAGCTCCTCTGAATGAGTCATTCTGTCATAGTTGTCACAGATCCAATTATTACTATTTATTTCCTGTTACTATACTTGCCCCGTTACCGTGGAGACGCAGGTCTCTGCTGCGCGATTGAGAGTGTGAAAAAGCATGCATTTGCATAACAGGCCGAGTGTGATTCTGTCAGAAACGTAGAGTCTCGGCAGGAAGTGAATCATCTGAGGAGAAGGGGGAGTTTATTCTTGACTTCTGCACCTCCTCTCACTGCTCAGGGCCGATTGGACCCATAAGGCACTTTACCTCCACGTCGGCTCGCCATCATGAACTAAGCGCAACCTCATGCCCACACACTTATGTAAATCAAACAGATTTCTCTCTAGTTGCAGTTAGCACTGTCGGACCCACGGTCTTGATATTTGATATCTCAATTCTGTGTTTTCTTGACTGATTTATTCGTGACTTCCTCCCACTATATACTTCTGTTTTCTCTCTCTCTTCTCATCCTTCATATGCTTCATCTATGTATTGTTGTCTGTAGTGTGTTTGTATTGTATATTCTTCAACTCTCAACTGTCTCTAACTCTTGTAGCCGATTACACTCACTACTATTCAGTTAAGTGAATGTTGATTATGGGGAAGACAATCTACATGAATAAAAGCTAATATTACTACTAGGTCTGTACCAATGGAGGGACACTTCATGAAGGGATGCAAAGGAGAAAACCTGTGTAAATGCTCCAATAATTAAATAAAGCCTATATCAATAACTGCAAAAAGATATTGAAAATGTTTACAATAAGGTTTGATTCGTTAACAGTTATATTTGTTTTTACACATTCATACAGAAAAACTGCTGTAGAAACAATCTTCACTTAGAAATTGCTATTAAATCTTACAATTGATTACAGAGAAACAGCAAGTAGCACATTGAATTAAATGTGAATTTTTCAAGTAGAAAGATTGAAATGGTATTTGCTTGTAAAGCATACGCTTTGTTTTACTGACAAAATCATTTTTAGAAGTGATATAGCTCTTTATAAATAGAAATATAATAACGCATTTTTTAAAATAAAGCAATATTTTCCAAATAATATCACTAAAATATTCCAAGCCTTATCTTCTTTGTTAAATATGGACACCCAATGAATCTCTTCTATGAACATATGCAGATTTCCCACAGCAAGTCTGCTGAAAGCTCTGCAGATTTCTGCAAAATGTGCATGTTTGTGACATCCGATGCAGTTCAGGGGTTTCATGCTACAGTATTTCCACTAAATGATCACTCCTGAATGCATGGTGTGGTTATATATTGCTGTTTCTCTTTCTGAGTGTTAAGAATTGAAGTTAGCATGAAACAGCATCCACAACCCATTTTACTTTCTAATGTGATAAACCTGTTTCTAAATGAAACAGGATATTCAACAAGGAAACGTAAGATAGGATTTAACTGGAAGTAAACAAACATCTTTTTTTCTGTGGAATAATGTCCACCATTGAATCATGCACAATTAGACCATACACTCTAAAAAATGCTGGGCTAAATACAACCCAGTGCTGGGTAAAATAGGGACAAACCCAGCAATTGGGTTGTTTTGACCCAACCGCTGGGTCAAACCAAACCAATTGCTGGGTTTGTCCCTATTTTACCCAGCACTGGGTTGTATTTAACCCAGCATTTTTTTAGAGTGTATATGTGTATTTAGTATGAAAGGCTTAAGTAGCAGGTTGAATGTAAAAGTGAAAGAGAGTGTCCTGCTCACTCAGGTGACCGATGAATCAAACAGAGAGTCAGAGAGATCAAAGCCTAGACAACTGGATCAGACTAAAGTGGATTATGTCTGATCCATATGTCTATGTTGTGATGGATGAATGAATGGACGGACTGGGACAGCTGATCTACTGAAGAAAATATGTGTGGTGTTGATGATTTTCAATGTAATTTCTGTTTCCTTTTTTTCAAATGAAGGACTTCATGTATTTACAATAAGTGAGGAAAAGAGAAGACAATATACAAAAAATAATAAATATATTGACCCTTTTATAAAGAGATTTAGTGTTAGAGATTTAGTTGTTAGTGCAAATGACTGGTCTTGTGATAAACAGTTAATCCGTGCAAGTAAATAAACAGAAAAGACCTGTTTGTCTTCATAAATTTTAGTCCAAAGATTCTC